GCGGAGCGGGTGGAAAGAAGTTAATTAGTAAACAATGTAAACAGACCCCCGACACTAAAACTAGTGCTAGTGGTGCCAACTAACTGATACGTGAGTGTAATGGTTTTTAATGAGTTTATAATAATGTCTGAGGAAAACAATTTAAGTGTGTACCCACCCTTGTGGTATAGTCTGCTTCCCGGTCATCGGCTAACCGGTCGAGTTGTCTGTTAAAGGTGTCGCGCGTGTAATCGCTGAACCTGTTCAGTTGCGTGTTGCGTTGCGTTTCGCGGTCCAATGTATTCTGGCCCGATTTAGTGTAGTGACGCTCCGTTGAGCCGACCGGGTCTAGGCTGTGTGAAAAAAAATGAAGTATCAGAGCGGATTGTTCACTTTTACAAATCTCTAAAAAACGCCAATCAATTACGTTTGCATAGCTAGCCACAAATAGTATAGATGAAGAATAAAAATATTCAGAATCGCAATAATATTAAACAATTCAAGGAAATATTACGATATTTATAATTCACATATTCTATTATTGTACTCAAGTAAACTTCCTGTTTTATTTTATAAAAATACTTGTATAAGTATATGTTTTTAACATACTATTATAATAAACATAACAAAGATAATTTCAATCACCTGTTAGTGCTCAACATTTGCCTAGTTTTCTCCACAGTATCCCATGAATCTTTCCTACTGACGTACGCCTTTCCTCCGGGATCGCTCCCGTCAACTGCACCTGTTAATGTTATTAAAGGGAATTATAAATCATCGGATGTGTATATAGAAATAATACCAAACATTACAGATGTATCCTAAAACCATGTAGCTTTGTAATAATTAACATTGTGTGAGTAACTAAATTTTGAGGAAAATATCCTGTTTGTTTGTGTCCTATGTTGGTTAAAGAGGCAAAGCATGCAAATGCGGATGTCTATAGACAGCGGTCAATTGGCTATTTTAGAGAATTCCGCTTGCCTCTTGCTGATATCATAAAAATACTAGCTTTCGCCCGCGACTCAGTCCGCGTGGAATTAAAAAAGAAACAAACGTTAAAAGCTTATGTATGTATGTATGTGTTCTTCCTGATTATGTTCTACATCTATGCAAAATTTCATCGAGATCCACTTAGCCGTTTAGGCTACAAACTCTAATAAACATTCATCCATCCATTCAAACTTTCGCATTTATAATATTAGTTAGAAGTATGATTAGATTTCTTACTTGGACTATTATATCCGCGTACTTTTTCTGTTTCTAAAGACGAAAGCGGGCTTTGATCGAGGTTCTCCTGCGAGCCGCTGTACGAACTGTAGATCTTGTAATTGGATCGTTTCTCAATAACACGCTTCGTTGTTGTGATGGGACTATATCTTTCTGTTGGACTGGCCACTCTATAAAATCAATATTAATTTTGAATTTCAGTTACAAACACAGAACACAGAAATAAAACCATCCTTAAGCCGTAGCGATATTAATGTTAGGTACTTAAGATTTTTTTTATGACAGCAATATTTGTCTAGTTTAAAATTAATGTTTTAAATTAAAAAAAAAAGTTTTTTTTCTTCCAAGCATATTAATGTAAAATCCTTAAATACGATTTTCTGCCAATTTAGGAATCTAGATAAGAACATTTATAACTATGATTTTAGATGATAACACTCTTTCACATGTATGTCTATATACATACCTGTTAATTGGACTAGCCGTCCTATTCAGCGGACTGTCCTTCCTCGTGAGTGGGCTGGACGTGCGGCCGATGGGACTCGTCGCTCGGTACGGGCTGCCGCCTCTGAACGGACTGCTAGACCTATTCACATCTAGACGCGTCCCGTTTCCCAAATGCTTCGACGTTATAGGGCTCGCAGTGCGATTCCTCGGACTCTCAGATTCATATTTCGTGTAATCCTTTCTATTTGTTGAAGTGTACGAGTCTATGACGTCGTAGCTCTTCTCCTTAACATCGGAAAATGTCTTGTAGTATTCGGATTCTCGGCCCTCTTCGCGACGGTCTATTGAGCTCGTGTTACGTTTTGTATCGTATGTGTTGAATTGATTGAGTGGACTTTCCGAGCGCAGTCGAGTCACTGTGAAGACGACGACAGAAAACTCTTTTATATACATAATAACATTATTTAGAATGCTCGCATATCAAGTGTATAAGCGATTCGAAACGTTCTCAAGAATTCAATTCAATTTGTGACGTGAAAGGTCTTTTCAGTGCAACTGGCTTGAGTAAATATTTATAAAGTTGTATGTATATTACGATGCGGACGTGTTGCCCGCTCTTAAATAGAATTCGAATCAATTGTCAACAATGCCATTCTAATAATGCCTTATCAATCATGTCTATGAATAAAATACCATTATTATTGTAACATATCGCAATGTTGAATAGAGCGACAATATAGGTGGTTACTTCCAATAATAATGATGTAAAACTTTTTCAAAGTTAACATTTTAAAATACAACAGCTCGGACTTAGAAATAGGGTACTTAGTACCTGGACTAGATATCCTGGCGTAGGAGGGGCTGGCGCTGTCACGAGGTTTCTTTGATCGCGAGCCTACTCTGAATATGTGCGGCGAGCCGTGCACGTCGTACCCATTGAAATATATGTAAAGCTGGAAAACAAACATCACCTATACTGTTACCTGTATAAAGAAGTCAGTACTCTACCCGAACTTAGGGGATATTGTGAAGGCACCAATAATTGTGCACTTATAACTTCCCTTTTTTGACCTTTTCCCAATAGAAGGAGGTACTCAATTCGTCTGTATGTTTTTTTATGTGTGTTACGGCGTAACTCTGCCGCTAGTGGACCGATTTTGACAATTCTTTTTTATCCGAAAGGTAATGCTTGCAGGTGGGTCCCATTTTTTTTGTTTTTAACTTTCAAATCATTTTCCCTGACTTGGGACCAAATTGTGCGAACTATTTAGTACCTTACTACCTTTTTTCTAATATTCACAAATCTCTTCAACATAATTTATTTTCATGACGGTGGTACAAGATTTATTATGTTAACTTTAATCAATTTATTTATAACATGAATTTAGACAGACATTAAGAATAAAATTAAAGCAAAATAATATTTTATATTTAACGGTGTGTCAATACGTCCGCTTTCTAAGAATATAAATCTTAGTAATACCTTTGAAAAACCACTGCCTTAATTCACATTGTTACGTTAGATAGCTTGTAATCTATATAGTACTTAGCACAAAATGTCTAGAAGTCAATATCGCTCTCCTTTATCGATAATAACTCTGTAAAATAGTTTAAGGTAATATTTCTACTGTTTCACAACGTTACTTTATCAAACCTAATTATTTGTAAGTTTACAGCTTTGTTGAACTCTATTAATTATTTTGTAAGTCTTAAAAGTTTATCAAAAGTTAGGTTGTGCAACACAGCGCCACCATCTTGTGATGGCGGCGACCGTAACGGAATTTTGTGAAGTTTCATAATAAGCAAGCGCAGGAAGAATCGTTAGTCCATGTGGAATTTTTGAAGGATAAAAGTGTAAGTAGACTTAATGTCAATTTGCACAAGAACTGTGTACAATGATAGTTCAGTCCTAATTTCTGCCATTATAAAACGTATGTAATGAAAACAAGTCTGCCTGTTGCTGTGTTGACGTATATTTGATTTAGAAGTGGTAATGCACTTATCAAGATAGGTGTTTTGCTTATTTCCTTAATTTTATGTTGTTTAAGAACTTTCTAATTGCTTAGAAACTTTACCATCTGATATACATATATCATCTGATTATTGAATAGTTTTAAACGTAAACCAAGACAAATATGATAGATAAAAGTGTTAGTGTTACTAACTGTGTTATTACCAGTTGGTTATACATATATAGCCTGGTTATACATATATCCTTCAATACGTGCTTAAAATAAATGAAATATTTACCCGATGTTTACCCGGTGCTTTAGGCATGAAAGTGGCGCGGTATTTGGTTTGAGAGAGTTTTTCCAGCGCGCACATGACGCTTCGTTTGTCGTGAACAATATCTAGCTGCAGGTCGCCTTTGACTCCGCATCCGC